GTGTCTTGTGTATTGTGTGTAAGTAATTTCTATTCTTGCATATACAGTTGGAGCCTGAGGACTACAGGCTCTAAATGCACATGAAATCCAGTGCCATCAGTGTGCTAAAGTGTGTTTAAATAAAGGGGGTCAGTATACATAGCTAATGTAAATGAAGCGTGGTGGATTTGTTAGCCGTCAGCACAGGCCTGCCTCATTGTCCCCATTCTCGTTCTCCCACAGGCTGCTCCCACGTGCTGTAATTGGGAGCCTGCTGAACGGAGATATGTACAATTATCTGACTCAGTGACCTCAGCAAACTCCCTCCGTTAGCACACGAGGATGTGTGGCGAGCAGCCTCCGCACACGGCAGAAACAAAAACACGCACACGACTCTGTGTTCTATCCTGTTCTGCGTGTAAATTACAACCACAGATTAATTAGAGATTTCCTCTCTGTGTTTGACTTATTTACTTGACTGGAGAGACATTGCACGTGTTTGCGTGTGTCTTGCATATGTCTTTAGAAGTTTTTAGGGTCACACTTTGTTTGACACACCGCCTACATAGGGACCTCATAACACATCCATAAATATGCTTTTAAAACCATTCTTAAATATTCATGAACAGCTATTGGGAGATGACATAAGATGTTTTATGAAGTAAATTACATAGTACTGACATAAGGGGACGTAAACTAAAGTGACAGACATTTGTTCCATTTATAACACTGTTATGAAGCATCATTACCAAGTAATGGAGCTATGCAGATGCCTTTCCACTTCAGCTTTAAACACAATAGTACAATTTGTTTTTAAACTGTATAATCTGTTTTAATCACATTATTTTAATGAACAATTTCTATATATTCATCAAAAGAACATAATAGGTGTAACAATCTAATGTGCCTTAACTTTTGATACTCAATTACATTCAAAAGCACTTAAAGGAGAATTCCTGCAATTTTTCAAAATATATGCGTAACTAAATAGTCAAGATGTGAATAAAGTCATTCAGAGTGCTTTGATGTAAAATGGTCCATTTTAGAGAAACTGACTGAGTCGGAATTGTTCATAATGATAGTGATAGGAACCAGACAAAACACTGCATTTATGGAAATGAAAAAAAAAATATATCTAAATGAAAGACATATGTGAAAAGGTATCTCCAGTTTTGTCGTTTTTCAGTTTTTGACATAATTTGAAAGTGCCTGTCTGGTTACATTGAATTACATTAAATGTAATGTAGGTTTTTTCCTTCTCCTGTAAAGTTGTATGTATGTATACATATGTGTGTGTGTGTGAAAGGTAATACTTTCTGTAAAGTATGTATATAAATGTACACACACACACACACACACACACACACGCACACACACATATATATATATATATATATATATATACATATACATATATATATATATATATATATTACATAAAGTATTACATTTTCATATGTGTCTTTCATTTAGATAAATTTTGTATTGTTAAAACACTAATTCCTTCTGTTCTAAAGCTAACAACAAAGGTGAAGCTGACAGTGTTGAACCACATACACACACACACACACACACACACACACACACACACACACTAATGTGCCTCATTGTCAGTCACACACTAAAACCCTGACAGGCTCTCACACACGCTGTTCTTTGGTGAGAATTCTAAGAAGAAGAAAAGAAAAAAACCCAGAAACCAAACTCTGAAATTCTCTCTGAAAGAGCTAAGCCCTGTTTCTCTCTAATCTCCTTGTACTTGTCTGTGTAAAACATTACAGTAACAGTGTTTTATTTCTCTCATTGCCTCCTACTCCGATAAAATCGTGTCTCACATCTTGTGACTGTGTCACCCACCACCCTGCTGGCAGTGGCAGTGCTGAGGCGTTGTGGACGTGAGGTCGTGAACTTTTGTGTACGGCCAGACCCTTTATCAGATCACAGATCTGCAAGCTGCAGTGATGTCATCGCTCAGCGTTCCTACCTGTGTGTGTGTGTGTGTGTGTGTGTAGAGTGGGACTGGTTGTTTCAGTTCAAAGCAGTATTCCTCATATCCTGTCCTGGAGGGCAACAGCATGGCATAGTTTATGATCTTATTATCTTCCCTGATTTGATTTGACTGATTAGTCAATAAAGTCTTTCATTAAAGTGATAATTCAGGGAAATGTTTAGTTTAAGTGATACTCCTGCTATCAAATGTAGTTGAACAACCAAGACATGTTTGGTGTTTGAAGCTTGCTTCTTTGGTTCACTGGAGCTACAAAGCTAATGTAGCTAATATGTAATGGAACCTTATGTACACCAAATTGCATGCCTAAATCATTATACACTTGCCTGAAACTGTGTGACACTGTACAACATACTTATGGCAGTGTATAAGTTTACACGCCCATAATATTCTGATAAATGTGGAAATACTGATTTTTTGCATAAATTAATTCAACATGTTTACAATCACTTCAGTAATCTGATAATGAGAAAACTCCAGGTCTGCATGGTTTCTTTCTATCTACCCAAAGTGCACCTTGACCATTGCTTAGCAAATCACCAATAAGATCACTAAACAAGCACAGCATGTGAAGTAACAGTTTCAGTTTAACATGGACTCCCTTTGCTGGTAAATACTCATTTGGGAGTTTGTATGGCTCTGAACTGCACATGATATGGTCATTTGTTACCTTTTCAGGTATGTAGTATTTAAATGTTTACTGACTCACTCTTCTGTGACTAGATCTGTTTGGACACGTGCTGACGTAGAAGGGGGGGCGAGATTAAGGGTACACACACTGCTAAAAAAGATAATGTGGCAAGTGACAACATCTTCAATCTAGTCAATATATAATATCTCTCATTATGTGATTTTTTAAGAATATTATAAAATTATTCGACTCGTCTTATTCTGTAGGCAGAAAATTTAGCTTGTTTTAAGAGAAAATGCAGATACAATGCTATAAAGAAACACATTTTATCTGCTGATGGAATAAGATATTTTGATTATATGAAATGACTTGAAACAGGTAAGCTGAAATCAGATATTGATTATTTTATTTGGTGTGCATGCCAATGCACTCATTGCTAAAGAAAGTGGTAGCAGCCAACTTGAGGACTTGAAATGTACATTTGTCCATTTTTATAGATAACAGCTGGTCATACAGTGTCAGAAAACACATAAGCAAGTCTATTTGGGATTACTTAACAAATCAACACAAACTGAGGTGAGTGTTTGATGATTTAGGCATGCAGTTTGCACAGTGCTAATTGGTGGAGACACCAAACCTGTCTTGGTTGACTCTATTTGGGATAAGGAGAAAATTGTGTTGTATTTTTCCCCAAACTGTGGCTTTTTTAAAAATGAAATGTGTCAGAATAGAGGAAAAAACAATTGCTCTGGACCTGCAAGAGTAGCATTGAGTCTCACAGATTCATGGAGGAAGGCACGCAGTGATATAGAGCTGTGGAGCTGAATGTTCTTGAGTCAGATCTATTCTTTGGCCCACAGTTCAGGACTTCCATCCTTTGGGCTCCTGAGTTAATATGTCCTTCACCTTGTGCTGGAATCCAGACCTTCAGGCTTATTGAAAAGGTCATCATAACAGGCTGTGAGTGCTCAGGCTGGACGGCTCTGTGAGTATGTGGGCTGCAGATGTGGATATAGCCGGGCTGTCCATCATGAACTGGTCTGGATAAAGTCATTTTCATGAGTACTGCAATGAAGTCTGGAGTTGGCACAGTCTGTGAAATTGAGTGGATGGAGTCTGGATGTGTCAGTCAACACCTCTGGGTAAAACTATAAACATTTTCCCAAAGCAATTTCACCTCAACAGTTTCCCAAACCAGAGGTCATCAGCCATCTTTATCTGACATCTATACAAATACATCAGCATATCAGCCTCACCCTATATATGTCACATGATGCTAACATCCAGCATTGGGACTGTGTCAATAGTGGGGCATTCAATCAGGGGTGTCCTCAGAGTCTCATGGGAAAAAGGGACTCTGCCTACCACTAGGAAGAAGGTTTGGGTGTGAGGAGAGGCTATATAATGGTTTAGCAATTTTAAGTCTTGAGCTTTGGTGGATAGGGTGCCTCTCTGCTGCCTCTTTATGATCCTACCCTGTGTGTTTAGGCCAGAAGTCTTCAAATCTGGACACTTAATCCAGCTTCCCATCCTAGATTTTGTAGTCACTGATAGTTAATGGAACTGTTGATGTAACTGGTTGGCCACCTACTGGTTATACCTACCAGTCATTACAAAATCCAGGACTAGAAACTGGATTCTGGTTTAGGATATTGCAATTTTAGCCCGTCCACACTCTCAGCCATGTAATGTTGTTGATTGCATATATTTAATAACTTTGCACCTGAGAAAATCTCCTCTTTCAAAATGTGATAATGCTAACAACAAATCATTTGATTCAATTTAGCAAAATGAAACAATCACTCAACCACTGGCTCTCTCATGTAACCGCATGTCACATAGGCTAATGATATTAGACAGCTCAATGTGCGGTGCGAACTGACAGCCCAGTTGAAAGCACATTGTGTTCTGTTTGGCTCTGGGACAAGATAATCACCTGGAAATCAATGCCGTTCATGGACACTCACTGGCCACCTTATTAGTAAATCCCATCTTGCTGGTGCACAATTAGAGACTGTTGTTGCACATTTTGTGTTAGTCATCAGTGGTCAGTTTCTGACGACAGAACTGTTCTTGGCTGGATAAAGTTGGGTGGTGGACCACCTTATCAACTTAGTAACTTAAGTGGATCAACTTAGTATAAACACTACCACTACCATGTCAGTGTCAGTACTGTGCTGAGAATGGACAACCACCCAAATAATACATGGCCTTGTTGTCAAAACGTTACCACTGATGAATGGAGCAGAGGGTGATTAACACATTTGCATGACATCAGATGGGCTACAGTCAGTAATTGTACGCCTACAGTATGTAGTGGACCTATAAAGTAGGTGGAGTGGATTGTGAGTGGATAGATAATTACTGTATGCTCTATTTCAGGTGAAGAAGACTCTGCGTGCAGCTCAGGAGAGGAAAGAGAGCAGCTTGCTGCGACAGCACAGGCAGGTGTGGACCTCAGAGGCCCATAGACTTGACATAGCCAGGTACGACACCTGCTAATCACAGGTCACCTGACCTTACACACTCACCTTCACCAATGCATACATTTACATTTATCCATTTAGCAGACACTCCTATGCAGTGCGACTTAGAAGATATGCAAACAAAGGATGCCACACTGACATAAAGCACACAGAGAATTTGCAACGATTCATGAAACAAGACATATGACAGATTGCTTCATGTAATCTACTACATACATAATGCCAAATGTGTTGTTTTAAGCTGCACTATGTAAATTTTGGAGATTTGGAGGCTCTTGTGGAAATGTCTAATTGCACACATGTGGAAGAACATTTTGTGACATGGTTGTGCTTCAGACTCCCCTGAACGGATGAATCTGATGATTGCAAGTGCGTTGAAAAACATTCAAAGAGAACTCAGTCAAAACTTGGTGAGGGGCGTGTCTTCTGAGGATGTAAGTGAATTTTCAACCAATGTCATCGTATCTTCATCAGTATAATGTTGATTTTGCATTTGAGACCTAATCATCAAGCCGGACTTTCTTGTGGTAAGAAAAAACTGCCACAAAATCTGACCCCACGCCTCTGACTCTTAAATGAATAATTCAGGGTGACTCGCGGCAGAGCACGCACACTTATTTTAGTGTGTTTTTCCTTCTGGCTCACTAACTCTGGTCGTACACTACACAACTTTTAAAATCTTAACAGATTTCTAAAATGGAGAGCATCACAAACTTAACGTCAGTTTGTCACAGAATTTCTAGTTTTTTTGTTGTGAGGCACTCACACTAGGCCACAAGGCAAAGACAGAGTAAAACATACATAGTGAATTTTGGCTACCAATAAGAAGTCAAACTCCCAGATCTCCTCAGATCACATGACACGAACAAAGATATAAACTTACCAAATCAGATCTGTTTATGCTTTTATGTGCAGTGAAAGTGTTAATCTGGATTATTCTGGGGGTTGAGAAGCGCTGATACAGTGAGAGCTGGAGAAATGTTTCACTACAAACTGGCAGCTGAGCTGAAATTGTAAAGAGAGTGACCTGACATCTGGATCCAAACATTATAAACATGATATCGGCTCTTATCTGCCTGTGTTTTACACGCAACTCCTGTCTTGTTCAGGCAGTGTGCATGCATGTCTCTTCGCCTGTTTCTCCGCTCTTCTAGCTCTCCGGTTGTCTGTTCTTTGAATTGTTCACTGAGTGCATCTCTGACCTTCTCACACTACAGGACTTGTGAACGTTTCGGGTTGTAAATATCAAACATTTGATAATATCGGAGGGACTAAGAGGGATAAAGATTCACTCGTTTCTCCGCTGACACTATCAGATAATCTGCGCCTTCAGTTGCTAATTGTGAAAATTAGTCACAAGGGGCAAATTGGGGTTAAAAGCAGGCAAAGACTGTGTAGTGTAGGCTCAGCTTAATGCTACTATTTTCAGTTTTAACAAAAAAAACTTACATATTGCAGCTTTAAAGAACACAATAACCACAAATGCTAAAGCATCAGTTTTGCAAAAAAAAAATGTAGCCAGTCAGCCAAGACATGTTTGATGTCTGAAGTTTGCTTCATTTTAGTTTTAGACCACAGATACAAAGCTAATGTGGCTAACAAGTCATGGAAGCAGTATTGAAACATGAACTTTGTCCTTATTTTTGCTCATTTTCACAGACATCAATGTGTCGTACAGTGTCAGAAACCACATTACTTGTTCTCTACATTAGCTTCGCAGTTCCGGTGTAAAACTAAAGAAGGACAGCTGGTGATTCAGCCTGTGGATGTACATGCCACAGTGGTGGATACTGGGAGTTGTAGTTCACAGGTAGCTGCGAATAGCAGGCGGAGTAATTCACAGGAAGGTGACACTCTAAAGTTTCCTGTAAAAGGCCCCAGGCTCATCATCATGAGGCAGTCAGATATTTTATTCTGCTGCAGATCGGGAGCTGCGCTCTGGCCACTCAGGCAAAACGGGGCGAGATAGATGAGGCAAGGCCGCTGATTGCATTTTTCTGGCCGGAGGAGAGGAAAAGCTGGGATGAGGCGGAGAGAGAGGGAGGGCGAGTAAAAATGTACATAGCAAAGCGAAGGTGGATAAGAGGAGGCGGTGGAGTGGAGGAGAGATAAAAACAGTGAAAGATGATAGGGAGAGCAAAGTAGATTCAGGGAAGAGGAAGAAGATAAGAGATAAGGGCACACACTCTTGAAAGAGAAAGCTCCAGGTGAAGCCATTTTAAGGTTCTTCACCATGGTACATTAAGCTGTCAGGCGCAAGCCTTTTATAGAGGTTCATGGAGTTTATATGACAGCCCTGGGGATATTTATGCTTTACTCTTTATGTTTTTGGTGTAGTTGCCATGTTGGCCGGGTACTTTGTGTTTAGATTAATATATGGACAGGTCTCAGTACGTCGCCTGTCAAAAGTCTGGGAATACCTCGCTTTCTTTGGAAGATTTCAAAGTATTGTTTTATTTTTACTCTTATTTTTCACTTAACCCTTTAAGCTCTGAGGCTTTTATTCAGTTATTCATTTTAAAATGTCAGTTATTAATTTGCAAGTGACTTTTACACTTACTGAACTATTCATAATTGTAATGCTTCATTCATTAAATAATGATCAAATATTATTTTAGATACAGTGCCAGTAGCAATGAGTCATTCATTCTGTCACCCATCCATTGACCACCCTCACCACCCCTGTTAGAGGTTTAGTTCAGTCATGGTCTGTAAGAAGAGCTAGGCTTTCATTTTTAATTCAAATGAAGATGCTAAAAACACAAATCACGCCTTTAAAATGTCAGGAAAACCAACAAAGAACAACAGCAACAACATGGAAGACAAATTCACCCAGTTTTTTGGAGGTGAAGGTTGGTTTTGAAGATGTACTACAGCCTGTAATAGAAAGGAAGCATTATGCTACAGTAACTGCAGTTGTCAAATGGAAATGATGTAATGGAGCTCTAAACTAAGCCCTACGTTCTACTGCAATTTTACAGTGTTTCTGAGTTTTACCCTCAAAAATCAATAGTCCGACATACCCTCTGTTTTTGTGTTAAAATGTTCTTTCGACCACTGAAATATAAAAGTTCAACCTCAAAACGAAGGCGAAGTAGACTTTCATCTTCCAGCCTAGATAAAGCACAAATTAAAACCAGAATCTTTCCATTATTCTCATTATTTTATAGCTGGATAAATGAGTGCTTTTGAGAGGATTTTAGTGGGCTTAGAATGAATGTTTCTGTCCTACAGTAGTCAACCACAGTTTTGCTTTAACAGCAAAGATGCAGTGCTTTGAGAGGCATTTGAAAACTTTGGTCCGTTGTTTACAGTACATTAGTTTGCAGTCATATGGTGACAGGTTCTGCAAAGGGAAATAAGATGAGGCAAGAGGCTAACGCATAAAGTTTTCAGGAATCTAAAAGAAAGGCCCAAAATTCTTTCCCACACCCCTTGGCCCACAAAAAGGCAGTGTTCAAAGAGTTAAAGGGGGTGTTAGTGTAGGTAAAACAGTAAAATGTGCAGAGCAGGAAGACTAGAGCAGCAGGCCTTGGAAACACTGCAAGAGAGTAACTAGCAAACTTTCTGCTGCTGCATACTGCACGATGGTGTTAATGAATTGGACGTCAGGGTTTGTGGGAGGATGTGTGTGTGTGTGTGTGTGTGTGTGTGTGTTCATGCCGTTTGCTTGTTACTGAATCCCACATGTATGCACCCCATTAACCTTGCCTGACTCACACATGCTCATTACCCCAAAGCTATCACTGCCCTTCTCAAATCACACGCCACTACAGACCTGCAGGGGGCTTTCTCTCTCTCTCTCTCTCTCTCTCTCTCTCTCTCTCTCTCTCTCTCTCTCTTTCTCTCGCCCCCCCCTCTCTCTTTCTCTCTCTTTCTCTTTCTCTCTTTCTCACTTGTGCACTCTCTCATGCACACTCATGTACACTGGCAGTTAAAAGTTTGGGCACACTTAGCTTTTCAAAACGTTTTCAATACAAATGAGCATGTCCCCTTTGTCAGTTTGCAACTCGTTAACGTATTAAAGACTAAGCAGGTTTTGTCAGAGCAAATAACTATTTGTGACAATAATAGAGACAGTACTATTTTGTGAATAATGCCAAATTTGCTCATGTTATGCTTTTGTTATGATGTCAGCACCTATCAGCACTCAAACCTACCTGTTTAAACTACGTTTGGGCCAAAAGAGTCTCATGTGCTTCTAAGAACACTTTGGAAAAGAAAATCTCAAAGCATTATTAAGGCAAAACCTGCTCTTCATATCAAGGACGTATTAGTAAGAGCTGATTTATGTTAACAGAATCCTTGCAGGGATTTTGTCATAATTAAACCTTTATACGGCCAGAGACGCAAAGTTTTGTTACACTCTTCTATAACTCAACCAGTTTGCACTGAAGTCCCTGTAGTTACTGAATAATAAGCCATAGAATGTAATAAGCCTGGGATTTTAAGGGGTTAAATGTGTATTCCAGCCTAAAACTAGCATTTGTCATATTTTGTATGACAAATCTGAGTAATCATTTGCTTTATTGAGGTAGAAGTAAGAAATTAATATTGAATTATCTCATTCTTATGCCAGGATAAGGATTGGGAAAACTGCTGTTGCTGTTCTCTTTGATTTGATTGGTGAAATCTCTCAATACCAGTGTGTTTGCTCAAATGTAGCCCTTTTGTTGCAGCTCCTTTAAAGGCCCAGTCTGGAATCCCAGCATCTGGCAGGCTGGATTTTCCTACAGCACTTACAGAAGCTTTCAAACAGCGAGAACACTGCAAGATCACAATCACTGCAACCACAATACGTACATTAACCACATGCTGTATTAGTGACTAAGCTGAGAGCCAGGCCTGGCCATCTGTGGCGCTGTGTGGGCAGTTCTTGATGCATGTTTGTCCCATTTCAGAGAGAGAGCAGAGGCTGATATCAGGAGCTTTCTGAACAGAAACAGCTTGGAGGTCCAGGAGGATGGAGACGTTCTGAGTGAGCTACTGGAGTATGGTAATAGTGTTATAATAGTGTTATAATAATGATGTTGGTTGAATTTATGATATTATTGTAATATAATATTAAACAAATAGTCCCATTAAAGAAACCCATCAGTTTTACACCCAGATTAAGCTTAAGGCTTAACTAAATAGGTTTTTTCAGTGATGAATCATTAAAGCTTTATGATTTAGTCCAAGACTAAGCTTAACCCATGTCCAGAAAACCTATTCTTAATATACATTCTTATAAATAAGGGATCAATAATTGATTAAACCATTAAACTGCAGTGTCATTGTTCAGTTATTGAAGGAATTCTCCAGTGTTTTAATGAAAATACTGTCTGTTGCTCCTGATTGTGTGGTCAGTTATCACTTGAACAGAAAGCCTCTTTGCTCAAAGCACACTTATAATAGAAGCCAGTAGGCAGTTGCTTCAGCTGCTTTATTATTAAGACATATTACTCCATAACTGCTATGAATTATTCAGTAATTACTACAAAACTAATATGTAAATGATGTTGGTATGAGAGAGAGGAACTGGAGTGTAGGCCCAAAAAGGTTCGTAACACTTGCACATCTCATTTACAAAAACTGTTCTACAAAGAACCATGCTTTTAAAGGTTCTTCTATGGCATTGCTCCAAAGAAATCTTTCTGGCACCTGTGTTCCACAGCTCAGTTTTGGATAGGGGTGGTTCAGAATTTCCGAACACTTTATTTGAAGGCTACCCACTTAAGGACATCATAACACATGCATAAGCACTGAATAACATATTAATAAAGCAATACTTGAGACGTTATGAGCAGCTTATGTCAGTAATCACAAGATACCATAAGCTGAAGTAAATGATATTGTATTGACAGAAGGGTTTTGTACTTTCACTCGTGTAGAACTACGTAGAACAGATATTAACTTCTTAACTAGAACTTCCTTCTATTATTTCTATTATTTGGTAATTATGCTTCACAATATTGTTCTAAATGCATCAGCTGTCCATAACTTTAGTTTAAGATGCCTTATATCAATGCAATATCATTTACCTCATAGAAAATCTCATGTCATCTTGTGGTTTCCAGCATAAGCTGGTCATAAATATTCAAATATTGCTTCGTAAATATGTTATTCAGTGCTTACATATGTGTTATGTAGTATATATGTAGGCAGCCTTTAAAAAAGTCTTGCTGAATTTTCTTTTAATGTTATATGTTGTCATAATGAAGAACCATGAGATGTCTGAACTCCACCAGAGGGCAGTGTAGAACCTGCATCTTATGTTTTGATCAGCATTTCTTATCTGTTAAGTCCAAAGAAGTAAGCATAGAATGACTACTGCAGGCAGCTAAAGGATATCATGCTGCACCAGTAAAGGGTCTTTGGCACAGAGTATGGAGATACAAAGCACAGCTATAGCACATAGGAAGCATTGCATAAATGTGCATATAAATAAGAAACTTAAGCTCATGTTATACTGTAATTGTATAGATTTGATGGAATAAAAATTTCAACATCATTTAGTGAATTTATTGTTTCAAAATTGTCTGTTTAGCTTAAAGAATTTTAGATTGAAATCTTTCTTGGTGTAAATTCAAGCAACACTATGGATTTGTTCTCTGGTTCTTGGTTTAATATAGTAGTCGTGTAGCAATAGTAAGATGTTAAGTGGTCTCCCCGATGTCATCCACCTGACAAGTCCAGTGTGTCTCATACATTTTTTGTGGGGTGGGAGGTATTATTTTAATATTTTCTTAATAATTGCTTATGAATTAATTTGTCAAATGTGACTGATTATTATCAATTGATTATCAATTATTAAATTCCTTTTCTAATGACTAGCGTTACTACTACTATTTCTCTGCATGATGTATGTGTGATATTTGTACATATGTGTGTATACTTGCATAAATCTGTTTGTGTGAATCATCGGTGTTCATGTGTTGGTGTATGTTGATGTGTGTAGAGTTGCATTTGGAGCAGGAGCGTAAGGCCTTTCGATTGGCCACAGTAGATCCAGTGTGCCAACTAAGAGAGGACCTTCTCTACAGAATGACATCAGGACCCCCAGCAGCCAATCAGAATTCAGAGTGGGAGCAAGTCCTTCAGCAGGTAACCAGTCAGAACACAAGCAGATGGCCATAATTTATATGCATATACACTGCGCTCACAGTATCAGCGAACACTGCTGGTTTGTGCATGACTCAGCATTCCCTCATACACTCACTACAAACAGACTATGACACTATGTACATACACAATCTTCAAGGACATTGGCTCTGTATAGAACTGTGAACACTCAAAGAACCATTTCACTGTTGTCAGAGCAAAAGCTTGTATCTCCAAAATGGGAACTTTACAGAAGAAGGAAAAAAACTTCTTTACTTTTAATGTAAGTCAATGGAACCAGAATTTTTTCTAAGTAATTTTGGGTTTCTTTTGGTCCAATCATCATGAAATTTATACAGAATGTGTAGAGCAAAAGGTATTTTTTTCAAATTATATCAAAAACTGAAAAATGACAAAAAGGATACAAGGTTTTGTTCTGACAGCAGCGATTTGCATGCTTAAAGCACCAAAAATGGTTTTATATCTTTTATATTATAGCACCAAAAATGGTTCTGCTATTTTTACAATGTTAATCTTGTAACAAAAGAAGAACGCTTCTTGGTGCTATATAGAATCATTGTCTAAAAAGTTCCATATAGAACCACATACAACACATTCTCCATCAGTCTGAAGAACGATTTTGCCATGCAAAGAACCATTTAAGCATGCAAATTGTGCTTTGAGTGTTCATGGTTCACTGTCTTTTCTAAAGAACGCTTGAAGGACCATCTTTTTTAAGAGTGGACATAGACCACCACACCACTCTACGTCTTTCTCTCTCTCTCTCTCATTCTTAACTCTTTTTTCACTCTCTTTTATCTTCTCTCCTGTGTCCCACTCCCTTCTCTCTCTTGCTCTCTCTTTTTTCGTTCATCCTCCCTCTCGCTCTCTCCTTCTCTTTCTTTCTCTTTACTTTTCCATTCCTTCTCTCTATCCTCTCTCACACTGTCTCTCCCCCTTTCTCTCTTGCTCTCTCTCTCTTTCTCCTTCTCTTTCCTTATTATTTCCTTCATTCTCTTTTCTCTTTCTTTGCTCTTTTCTTTCTTCTTTCTTTCTCTTTCACTCTCTCTGTCTCTTGCCCCCCCCCCATGTGTCACAGTCTATAGGGCTCTGTTTGCTTTATAAAGGCAGACTCATGTTTGTGTACTGTCTCGTTCACTTGCAGCAGCAGGCTGATGTGAACAGTACAGACACAATGGAGCAGAACTTTTCCCAGCCAGAATAATCCCCAAACACTCGTCCACACAGCCAGATCAGACATATACGCCCTCACACACAGACACACACACACACACACACACACACACACACACACACAGACACACACAGACACACACACACACACACACACACACACACACACACACATACATACACACACACATACTCACACACACACACACATACTCACACACACACAGACACGCAGACACACACACATACTCACACACATACTCACACACACACAGACACACACACACACATACTCACACACACACATACTCACACACACACAGACACGCAGACACACATACACACACACATACTCACACACACACAGACACGCAGACACACACACATACTCACACACATACAGACACACACACACACACACACACAGACACACACACACACACACATACTCAAACACACACACACACACACACACACACAGACACACACACACATACTCACACACACACACACACACAGACACACACACGCAGACACACACACACATACTCACACACACACACACACAGACACACACGCACAAACAGACACACAGACACACACACACACACACAGACACACACACACACATACTCACACACACACACACACAGACACACACACACAGACACACACGCACAGACACACACACACACACACAGACACACACACAGACACACACAGACACACACACACAGACACACACACACACATACTCACACACACACACAGACACACGCACAAACAGACACACACACACACAGACACACACACACACATACTCACACACACACACACACACACACACACACAGACACACGCACAAACAGACACACACACACACACACACACACACACTCACATACTCACCCACACACATACACATATGCATACAGACATAGACAAAGACAGACAGAGGGAAAGAGAGAGAGAGAGGGAGGGGGAGAGAAAGAGAGCATGTGATAGCTGTGCACTGAAAAAACGAAGCTTTAATGCACATGTTTAGTGTCAGTCAGTTGTACGTGAGAAAAGTGTTACATTCATGCAATTCCTGCTAAAATAAAACTATTGTAAAATAATCTTGATATATTTCATTTGTGTGCAACCTACTGACACATTTATACCATGTTAAGCCGAAGCAAAACTGTTTTCAGTGTGTGCTGTGTGTACAGTGATGAAAAAAGTTGGTCTACTCAATTAATGTGACATTTCTTAATTCTGCTCAGTTCTGCACTTTTAAATATAATAAACTATCAAAACCAAAAGTATCAAAAGCAAAAAAAAAATGTGAATTAATGTACTGATATTTTACAATTATAGTTTAGAAACTAAAAAATAAAAAAAACATGGCAAAATTGTCCCTCAAATGTCATTGATCAGCCAAGACATGTTAAGTGTCTGAAGTTTGCTTGTTTAGTTTTGCACTGGAGCTGCTAGACTTACATGCTAACATGTAATGGAAGCATGCTATTGTATTTCTTAACAGTGTATGACATTGTCTAATAAAATGGACACAATATTGTTACATGGCTAAAAACAGTTTCCACAGTTATGCTGAAGGGTTTGTCTGTATTTTGATCCATTTTTATTAATAATTGTCTGCTACAGAGTGTCAGAAACCACATGAGAATGTCTAACCGTGATTACACAACAACATAAAGTTTAAGGTGAGAGTTTGATGATATAAGCATGGAGTTTGAACGATGCTAAACTGGTGACTATGAACCTCCATTGCTTGTTCGCTACATTAGCCTTATAGCTCCAAGACAAAACCTAAAGATGCAAAGTTCACAGAAGTGGCTACATGAATTCAGGCAATATTCCAAGGAAATGACTAGATTAATCCAGTCAATATTCCACAGAAGTGGATACATGAATCCAGTCAATATTCCACAGAAGTGGATACATGAATCCAGTCAATATTCCACAGAAGTGGCTACATGAATCCAGTCAATATTCCACAGAAGTGGCTGCATGAATTCAGGCAATATTCCACAGAAGTGGCTTCATGAATTCAGGCAATATTCCACAGAAGTGGCTACATGAATCCAGACAATATTCCACAAAAGTGGCTTCATGAATCCAGACAATATTCCACAGAAGTGGCTACATGAATCCAGACAATATTCCACAGAAGTGGCTACATGAATCCAGTTAATATTCCAGAGGTGGCTACACGAATCCGGTCAGTATTCCACAGAGGTGGCTACATGAATCCAGTCAATATTCCACAGAAGTGGCTACATGAATCCAGTCAATATTCCACAGAAGTGCCTATGTGAATACAGTCAATATTCCACAGAAGTGGCTACAGGAATTCAGGCAATATTCCACAGAAGTGGCTACATGAACCCAGACGATATTCTACAGAAGTGCCTATGTGAATACAGTCAATATTCCACAGAAGTGCCTATGTGAATACAGTCAATATTCCACAGAAGTGGCTACATGAATCCAGATGATATTCCACAGAGGTGGCTACATGAATCCAGTCAATATTCCACAGAGGTGGCTACATGAATCCAATCAATATTGCCTGGAATTCCAGGCTACACTAACTTCAACCGTAGCAACCAAAATTTCAGCTTTTGTAGACAATATAAAAGCATTTTCCATGTGAAGAGCAGCCAGATGTCCCCACAATGATAAACTGTTGATGCTTTCATCATTTTTCACTCACAGAAAAAACATACTAAACTGTCACTGGGGTGGGATCCCTCACATCACTTTGGTGGTACCATTCAGTACCTTTATGTAAGGAACATAATTCCTCTCTTGACTCCAGGCTTTGTGTTTTATATTTCTGTTTTAAAACGTTAGGCTTTGAAAAGGTATAGATATGCATGTTACCCCTGGGAAAGTGAATGCATGTACCTTTAAAGCTTATTCACTGTACACCATTGGGCTTTGAGACCATTGTTGTACCTTGGAAGGTACATTTACATTGATTGTAGCTGGAAAAAGGAACCTCCACAGTGCCTTTTTTCTGACATTGTGGAGACATTTGGTCCCCACAAAGAGCTAAACTCATGTGCACACATACACACATATTGCAGACTGTATCAGTGATTCTGTAACAGAGCTAGAGAAAAATGGCGAGTTCAGTCTTTTCCAACAAAAGTGTTTTTGTGTGAATCTACTAGTTTTGTCCTGAATGTGAGTAATTACATCGATTTCTAAGACTCACTGTCCCCAGCACACAGTGGAGTGGAGAGGGTGAGCTGTGGGGAGCTAGAAAAAGCTCACACCTCCCTCTGCAGTTTTCCACTGGAGAAAAATCACCCAGGACCACGTAAACCAACATTAGCACGCCTTATCACCTCATCGCTAACATTTTAATACACCTCTTCTCACATCGCATAGCTTTTGCTCTGGATGTAATGATATTATGCTTTTTGGCCTGGCTATGATTATGAAATTCCACACCTGGGCCACAAACACGGTGAGTGTGGTGTAATAATACTGATGGAAATGGGAGCAGAGTTCAAATACTGTATGTTAATGGATTTGGTGCTAGACAGATGCTGTCAGAGGGGGCAGGAGCTCAGAGACGAGAGAGATGAGTCATCTAATCAGCTCACTCTCTCTCTCTCAGCACTGTGTGGAAATGGAAGCGTCATCTTCTCTCTCGCTTCTCTCTCCATCTTTCTCTCCCCGTCTGTCTTTCTCTTCTCTGTCTCCATCTTTCTCTTCTCTCTCTCCATCTTTCTCTCCCCTCTCTGTCTTTCTCTTCTCTCTCTCCATCTTTCTCTCCCCTCTCTGTCTTTCTC